GATAAATTTTGTCCTTTATGTAAGATTTTATAATTATGAGGGGGTTTAGAAAGTATAATTTTTTTCTTAGTCATTTTAACAATGAAAGGAAGGTAAAAGGGGTTTATAACCAAATTTTTCTTATATCTATTCGCAAAAAAATCAAAACCTCCCTAATAAAATATCGGATATGAGCCAATTGGATAACGTAAATAAAAAGAAAAAGGAAAAGAAAAAGAAAAAGAAAAAGAAAAAGAAGAGAGACATATTTAAGTTAAAAAAAATGACTTTTGTGCCATGTGAATGTAGATCGCTAGTTGCTAATTACGACTGGTTCTCCTATAAATAGACATGCAGGACACAACAACCCCATCATCCCTTATCCAAGAATAAGAGTAATATATCATCCCATATTGCTCCTTTTCTTCTATTGAGAGAAAAACATGTTGTCACTAGGAGTAGTTTTGAGCACTTTCGTGGTAGCATTGGTTACCATATTCATAACTCATTGGGTTCGCAAATGGAGGAATCCCAAATGCGAAAATGGTGTTCTTCCACCGGGTTCCATGGGCCTCCCTCTCATCGGAGAGACCATTCAGCTCCTTATTCCCAGCCGATCACTAGAACTCCATCCCTTCATTTCTAAGAGAGTCCAGAGGTACTATACATAATTAAATTTGAAAAAAAAAAAGAAAAGGGTTTTCAGAAACAGTTTGTAAGCAAGTTTTCTATTTATTTATTTATTTTTTTCATTATTAAAGTGTAATTATTTGTTGTCTTTTGTTTTTCTGATTGTGTGTAGATATGGGCCGGTGTTTCGAACTAATATAGCGGGTAAACCGGTAGTACTAACAACCGATCCAAAATTCAATCATTACATCCTTACGGAAGAAGGGAAATCGATTGAACTATGGTACTTGGATACGTTCACAAGCATGTTGCCGATATATGCAGTGGGCAATGTTCAAAAGTACATGAGAAACACTACTTTGAGTTGGTTTGGCGTTGAGGCCATCAGAGTGAATTTGTTCTCTCAAATCGAACAAGTCATTCAGACAACTCTACGTCATTGGTCTACTAACCAAATTGTTGACGTCAAACATGACGCTGCAAGTGTACGGAAAAAAAATAAAAATTCAAGCTCATTAATTTGATCTTTGATTAATCAGCCTTAATTTATGGTGCTTAATTTCATTTCTCTATTTGGTCATTACAGATGATTTTTGACTTCACATTGAAGCAGTTGATTAGCTATGATTGGGAAAAATCATATGAGAAACCGCTAAGTAAGAGATTTTCCAGCTTATTACACGGTCTTTTGTGCCTTCCCTTAGACATTCCCGGTACTACATTCCACCAAACAGTAAAGGTAGTAGCTCAAAGAGAAATTATGACTTTGTTTTTGAAGAGATTTATGTATATATTGAGAGATAGTTCCCAAGTTTTATATATGTGTTTTTATCTTGTTCAATATTCAGGACCGAAAGGAGATGCTAAGCATAATGAGGGATGCCATAGTGGAGAGAATGAATTCCCCTAACAAGATTCAAATGGACTTTCTTGATACAGTCATGGAGGACTTGAAAACTCAGAAGTTTGTGACTCCCGATTTCCTATCCAACTTTATGTTTGGAATTTTATTTGCCAACTATGAGCCCATCACTTCAGTTATACTGTTGAGTTTGAAGTTACTCTCAGAGCATCCTTCGATTTTGGAGGAGCTAACAGTACGTTTGCACTCCTAAATTTTAACTAATTGACATGATTGTTGATTGCTTTTTCAATTTTGGTTGATAAATGATTTAGCATAACTCTCCATGCATATAAATTTGTGATATTAATGATTGTTTACTTTTATCAGGCTGAAAATGATGCAATCATTAGAAATAGGAAGAATCCAGATTCTCCACTTTTATGGAAAGAATATAAATCGATGACTTTTACACTTAATGTACGTTTGTACGATGATCTCAATTTATTTTGTTTTCTGCCTCAAAAGGATTAATTAATTGAAATTTTATTCTTACTTTACTAATGATGTGTATTTCTTATTAATATGTGAAATTGCAGGTTGTGAACGAAGTTCTTAGGTTGGGAAATGTAGTTCCGGGGTTGTTAAGAAGAGTAACAAAAGATATCAAATTCAATGGTATGTATTATAAATTCCATCATAATAACATCAATTAGCTCCACATCTATATTTTTTATTACAAATATAAGGTCCATATAATAGAATTTGAAATATTTATTGCTTAAAAACTTAACAGGATATACAGTTCCAGCGGGCTGGGCCATTATGATTGTTACTTCTGCTCATCAACTGAATCCAGAAGCTTTTAAGAATCCAGTTAAATTTAATCCATCACGTTGGAAGGGATGACAGGGAGTGAATATGGGGCACAGAAGGTATATAAGCCTGTCTGCGCCCCCCATACGCGACAGACGAACACTGTGTAAGAAAATCCTTACACTCAAACACTCTCTCCCTTCTCTCTATTCCCTCTAAGGTGTGTGCTAACTTGACCGTCGGAGGGTTTTTCCGGCCACACACCGCCGGGTAGCTCATCCTTATTGACTCGCAGGTGATCGGACATCGACGAA